GAGATGCAACTCGCCAAAGACCTCATCGACGACGACGTCTGGCAAAAGGTGACCGAACTGCCGGAACCGTGTACAAGAAAAAAAGACGATCACTTTTCTTTGCAATAAATAAAATTTTTAAAGAAAAGAGAGAAATAAAAGAACGAGAAAATAAAACATTTGTGTTTTCAATTCATTATTATTTTTTATTGATCATCGGCAAGTTCGCACGAGGCGCAAGCATCGCGCGAGGTGATGGCGCCGCATCTGCAAGAACGCATCATCGCAAAGTCGGGTTGCTTGACTGTCAGCCTGACTCCGGCACCGTCGAGGGCCAAGGTCGCCAACCTTCTCGAGTGGCAGTTGTAACACGCAGGCTCCAGCGTGTTCTCGTCGATGTACATACCTTTGGTCGGAGGGCAGTTCTTGAGGTCAACGTACGTGAGAACTATGTAGCAGTATCTGCATATGACGATGGACTCGGAACCGCTTCCAGGTTCGTACGTCTGATCGTACGCGTACTGAACCTGGGCGCACCTTCTCTGCACGAACAGAACGCTCTTCATCTCCGACGCCTCCTCCTCGCTCAAAAGGGAAAGGGCATTGGTCACTCGGGACAGTAGAAACCTGCGTTCGCGAACGTCGTTCAGCATGAGGACGCACGCGACAAGACCGGCCGATCTGTCCGGCAGGACGAACAAGAGGTTGAACAGTTGGTTCGCGTGAACTCCAACACCCTCTTAAGCATCAGATGTAACGGTTTGGTCTTGACGCTGTTCAGATGCGCCAGTACGACCCTGATGATGGCCGACTCGTGCACCCTGTCGGTCTTCGGCACGACGTGGTTGGACGTTTTCCGTTCGTCAAGATCGAATCTCAGCCATCTGCGAATCTCGTCCAGGTTGGCAACGGCCGCCGCAATTTTGCTGTGGTGCGGAAGAAGGAGGGTGTCGTAGAAGTACCGGACGAACGCCTTCTTGCGCCGATCGTCTGTTTCCTCCTCCTGTTTCTCGTCGTCGTCTTCGACTTCGTCGGCAAGAAACCCTCCGAGCGCGAGGGCCGCTTCGAACTGCATTTTCTCTTCGTCGCTGCACCTCGCCCATTTGGTCCTGTGCGAACTCTTGGAAGTCGTGCCCAAACACGAGCTGACGAGTTCGACGAGTCTCGAACGATCGTCGCCTTCGCTGTGCGCCTTGAACATGTACGCGAGACCTGCTACAAAAGCCGGGAACGCCGTTTCGCGCGACATGGTCGGGAATGAGCGCTGCCGAGGTTTTGCAAAAAGATATGTTCGCACGCTCAGAAAAAAAAATATGAAATCACTCAAGTTAGCAGTGTTGGGTTTGCTCCTGAAGTTTGCGGTTGCGCCAGATCTCTGCGTCACCTTCACGCCGTCCGGGACGCCCTGGAACGAGATGCCGTACCTCCGCCGGCCCATCTCCAGCAGCTTGATGATGTCCTCCCGATTGGTGCGGGCGCAGTTTAGATCCTGCGCCCAGTTGACAACGGATATTCCTGATTCGTGCACCAGGAGCGCCGCAACGACCAGCTGACCGGCTCTGTTCTTGCCACTTCGCCG